GCGGCCACTGCACTCCAGTCTGGGCGAAAGAGTGAGACTCCAACTCACAAAAAAAAAAGATTAATGGAGAAAGAGAAACAATGGTATGTGGGGGAAGATGTTGCTTTTAGTTCTGCTGATGTTCCGTTTGAGGAGTCTGTCAGACATGAAGTCGATAATGAGTAGGGTGTTTACTGGGGAAGAAATCAGCCTTCATAACCCACAGAGCTGGGGTTAGTTTCTGTAACAGACAAAATTGTTTGTCATCTGCCCTTATGTGTTACTTTTCTTTTCTTTCTTTTTTTTTTTTTCGAGTTGGAATCTCACTCTGTTGCCCAGACTGGAGTGCAGTGGCCGCTCCCGGCCACCGCAGCCTCAACTCTGCTGGGCTCCGGCGATCCTTCCGCCTCAGCCTTCCGAGTAGCTGGAACTACAGGTGCGCACTACCACGCCCAGCTACTTTTTTTTAATTTATTGTAGAGATAAGGTCTCACCAAGTTGCCCAGGCGGGTCTCGAACCCGTGGGCTCAGGCAATCCACTCACCTCAGCCTCCTAAAGTGCGGGATTACAGGCTGAGCCGTGGAGCCCGGCTTTTTTTGTTTGTTTGTTTGTTTTGCTTATGTGTTTTTTTTTTTAAACACTTCTCTTTATTTGATATCCCTTTTATAGGCCAGTTCTTATTTTAGCAATAATACATAAGGCAAAATGATTAAATTTATACTACAATATTTTAAAAAACCTGTGTGTTCTGTAATCAGATTTGAAACTTGGGAACAGAAGAATATGGTCAAAATATCCTTAAGTTGCCATCCAATTACATATGTGCTATTAAGCACCTTTGTTTGCCTTCTAGGTTGGCAAATAAACAAGACAAGGAAGGAGCTTTAGGAGAAGCTGATGTGATTGAATGCCTGTCTTTGGAAAAACTGGTCAATGAGCACAAGTGCCTGTGTCAAATAGTAAGTTTTTGGTCTTTTTTTCTGCCTTTTGAAATAGGTTTAGTATAACATAGTTTTGGGAAGGTAATAGCAATTAGAAAACAGTACTTCAAAGAAATTTTTTTTTTTTATCCAAGAAATCACACTCTCATTTTTCTGTTGATATTACTCATATACTGTAATACTTGTTTTCATTTTGTTTGTCATTGGCTTTCATAAACTATCTTTCCATGATTTCAAATATTTTCACATTTGCTTCTTATTTAAGATTATGCTGATAGGATCTGTAAGCTATACCAACACACCATGGTATGAACTATATGAAATGGGAAAGCAAAATATAAATATAAAATTTAAACATATGAGAGATGTATAATGAGTTTTGAAAAATCATATTAAAAGAATTGTCATACATTCTTAAGGAAGATGAACAGAGGACTTAATCATTTATTTTAGTTTCAAAAAAGATCATTAGGCTGTCAATCTTATGGATGCTTATTGCTGTAAATGTCAGTATAAGGAATTCAGACTTCCTGATATTTTTAATAATAGAGGTATTTTTCTTATGGCAGTTTGATTTTGTCTTTCAGTAAGCTTGCTTTACAATTATAACCAGTTTTGTCAACTTCCTATGTCATAGTGTCTCTCAGAGCTTACAGATATTATCTGTAAAATATTTCAATTTCTATATACTAATGTTAGGAGTTATTGCAAAGGTGTAGTTTTGAAGTTAAAGAAGCACGTTTCATATCATTAATTTAATGGCATAAATTTGATTTTCTAGTAATCATACTTTATTAAATTAGGGGGGAATTGTGCAAATTTATATTTTGTAAGTTAAATAAGCAGGTGTTTCATATCACCAATTTAAATGACTTAAATTTTATTTGCCAATAATTGTACTTTATTAATAGAATTGTGGGGAGAACTTTTACTCTTTGAGTCAAATAAGTTTCTGTTTTAGGAACCTTGCTCAGCAGTCTTGGGGTATGGAAAGAAAATTGACAAATCCATTAAAAAAGGCCTTTATTGGCTGCTACATATCATTGCGAGAGACTTTGATGCCTTAAATGAACGCATCCAAAAAGATACAACAGAACAGCGTGCTCTTGAGGAGCAAGAGAAACGAGAAAGGGCTGAGCGAGTGCGGAAATTGCGAGAAGAAAGGTAAGAAGGTTAATTATGCACAAAAGTACCTCTGAAGCATCAAAATCACAACACATTTATGAATGATTTATTCTGTATGTTCGGTTTCCTCTTTCTATATGAAGGAAGACACTAAATTTTCTATTTATAGAGTTCTAACTTTCTAGTATGATAGTAATTAAATGTATTACTCACATAGTCATTATTTTCCACAGTTTAAAATGTTTATCTCTTATTTCTTAGGGACACTTTTCATGTAGTGGTTCTCAATGCAAAATGTGATTTTGTTTTTGGGGAACGTTTGGCAAGTTCTGGCAACATTTTTAGTTGTTACAGCTGGTGGGAACGGTAGACTGCTTCTGGCATCCAGGGAATAGAGGCTAGCGATGCTGCCAGCCTTCCCGTGATACACAGGACAGCCCCTACCACAAGAATGATCAGGCCTAACATGTCCATAGTGCTGACATTGAGGAACCTCTTTAATCTCCGCAAAACCAAAGGTTACTATTAGACAGTTACTATACTCAAGCAAAATCTGATCCAAAGTTGCCTTCTTCGGCAAAGTTATGTTGGTCCTCGTGTGTTTTAACATAGTCACAGCCTAGTAGATAAGAACCCACTGTCGCCGGTGATCTCTTTGTGGGGTGCTTCCTGGTATTGTGACAGCAATTCCCTGATAACTGGAATATTTCATTTAATTCAGAGATAGGACTTAAAGGAAAGAAGTATTTATAGAGATGGCTGTCCACCCCCAAGTGCTTAATAATATGAGCATGACTCTCATTAGGTATCTCTTGATATCAGAGAAAGAATGGGGTGCATGGTTTGGCAGCTGCTGATAGGAGGTTTTAGTTCCTGTGAGAATTTGGTTTTCTGTCCTAAACATATGTTTTCATGATATAAAGATTAGTACAACCAATCTTTTATGTAAGTATACCTTTCACATATTTATGCAAATTAGGTATATGAGCCAGGCATGGCTGCTGTAATCCCAGCACTTTGGGAGGTAGAGGTGAGAGGATTGGTTGAGTTCAGGGGTTTGAGACAAAAACAAAAGTGACAACAAAATATTTGAGTTGGATAAAGGAAATTTGATGTTAGGAATTTTTTAACGTTTTGGCCTTTTCTGTACTGACTCTCTAGATCATGTCATGGCAGACTTTCCCCTTTCTTCCTTTCTTCTTAACCAAGCCAGTTGTAGTCTGAAACCTCTCCTATTGAGTTGATCCTCTATAATTAAAAGTAAATTGGCACCGGGTATGGTGGCTCAAGCCTGTAATCCTAGCACTTTGGGAGGCGGAGAGAGAAGATTGTATGAGCCCAGGGTTTGAGACCAGCCTGGGCAACTTGACAAGACCTGACTCAAAAGAAAAAAAACAAAACAATAAGTTGGCATTCAGAAAGAAACAACCTTTTTTCTTCACTACATCCAATCTGGTCATTTCTAGTGTTTTTGAAAAACAGTGATGCATACTATGTGAAAATAGTATACCTGAAAGTATATACCTGAAATTGCTTACCGATATGAGTAACATTAATAACAATGACTATCTTATGAGTACTTTTACAGAATGTTCTCACAGATATTGCTTTATCTGATCCTTGATCAGAGACCCATGAAATGGTTATTTTTGTCCACATTTGTGGGAAACCTAAGGTTCAAAGACCTGAGTTCAAAGTCACAGAAGTAGTAAATTACAGATCCCCAAATTGTGGCTCCCTAGATTAGTAATGAAAGGGTATATATTTCCGTCTAGAACACAGTTAATAAATGTCATAGTCATGGACATTCACATAGCTGTACTATACTTACAGTCGAGTTGAAGGTCCAAAGTGCTCATTTTTCTGCCTTTGCTAGTTTTAGTAATTTATTAGTCTTCACGTATGGGGCAACATTAACTGTAAATCACAGAGATAGTAAATGTTTCAGCAGTCACTAATATGGAAATATTTGTTTAATATGAATGACATATGGCAACTTATTTTTATAGCCTCTTATACTATTATGTAACAATTGTTATCCAGTTGTCCAAATATGATATCCAACTTGATAATGTATATCACTTTTACATTACTACTTTGTCATATACTTCCATAGGATCACTTCATAGATGTCCTGCTGTTTTATTTATTTATTTTTATTTTTTAAATTTTTTGAGGTGGGATCTTACCTATCACCCAGGCTGGAGTGCAGTGGCATGACCACTGCTTACTGCAGCTTCGACCTCCTGGGATCAGGCAATTCTTCTGTCTCAGCCTCCTGAGTAGCTGGAGCTACAGGCAGCTACCACCACACCCATCTAATTAAAAAAATTTTTTTGTAGACACTGAGTTTGGCTATGTTGCCCAGACTGGTCTCAAACTCGTAGGTTTAAGCAATCCTCCCACTTCTGCCTCCCAGAGTCCTGGGATTCCTGGTGTGAGCAATTTTGCCTGGTCTGATCTTTTACTTTAATATAATAAGCAAGAAACATGTTTGCACAGAAATAGAAACATAGGTTGAGTTAAAGGAAGGTTTTCCCAGTTTTATTTTACAACAGAAGATGTAGCCCTTAAGAAGAGAGCTAACAAGAGGACTTATTTATTTGTTAACACCAGTAAAAAGCATTGATTTGGAGGTAATTAATAAGTCGATCAATGTACACCCTTGGCACATGGAAAAAATAATTTGCACATTGATATTAAGAAGTCAGTCATAGCCGGGTGTGGTGGCGTGCGTCTGTAGTTCCAGCTACTTGGAAGGCTGAGGCAGAAGGATCACCAAAGCCCAGCAGGTTGAGGCTGTGGTAGCCGTGAGTGTGCCACTGCACTCCAGCCTGGGTGACAAGAGTGAGATTCCAACTAAAAAAAACAAAACAAAACAAAACCAAGAAGTCAGTCATAGACAATGTCACTTTTGTCAGCATTTCTTTCTTTCAAAATTCAAATGGAATGATTAATCTTTACATGGTGTAGAGGCCTATCACCTGCATAAGAATTTCTGAAATGCTCTCAGTAATTAAAAGCCATGTGTAAGGGAACTAGAAATTGACCTTCCATACGATCTAGCAATCCCCCTCCTGGGAATATATCCATAGCAGCACAAATCATTCTACAAAAAAGATACCTGCACTCGCATGTTCATTGTTGCACTATTCACAATAGCAAAAACATGGAACCAACCCTACTGCCCATCCAAAGTAGACTGGATACAGAAAATTTGGTACATAAACACCATGGGATACTCCCCGATCATAAAGAAGAACAAAATCATGGACTTTTCAGCAAATTGGGTGAAATTGGAGACAATCAATCCTAGCGATCTATCACAGAAACAAAGAACCAAAAACCACATGTTCTCACTCGTATGTGGTACCTGAACATTACTCACAATAGCACAAGGTAGGGATCGTCAGTTGTGGGATACGACCAGGGGAGGGAGGAAGGGGGGGACATACAACAACATAGAGGGTACCTGATCCTATACCAGGGGATGTGAGGACCAGTTGGAGGCCCAAACTTCACCTGCACATAAATTACTTAAATACATACTCCTGACTTGTACCCTATATCTTTAAAATAAAATAAAGTATTTTTACAAAGCCATGTCTAGATGTTTAAATTACTAAGTTTTGTTTTTGTTTTGTTTTGTTTTTTGAATTGGAGTCTCACTCTGTCACCCAGACTGGAGTGCAGTAGCCGCTCCCGGCCACTGCAGCCTCGACCTACTGGGCTCCGGCGATCCTTCTGCCTCAGCCTTCCAAGTAGCTGGAACTACAAGGCACGCGCTACCACACCCGGCTAATTTTTTTTTATTTATTGTAGAGATGAGGTCTCGTCTGCCCAGGTGGCTCTCGAACCTGCGGGCTCAGGCAATCCACTTACCTCATCCTCCCAAAGGCGCAGGATTACAGGCTGAGCCACCGAGCCCGGTTAAATTACTAAGTTTATTTGCCATAAACCTATTGCAGATGTTCTTAAACATGGTTCAGCACTTTCTCAGAATTTCATTTTTTTCCCCTCAAACAATAGAAAGCAAAGAGAAGAGGAGCAAGCTGAGCTCGATGGAACCGGTGGTCTGACTGAGTTGGACCCAGAACCAACTAATCCTTTCCAGCCAATAGCGTCTGTGATCATTGAGGTAGGATGGTGACAGATGTCATCTTTGTATCTTACATTTTAACGTGGGAAGTTAGGAATGGAGGTGGGGAGTTGGGAAAGGAGACAGGGAACTAGAAGACTAGAAGTGTTTCTCCCGAGAGATTATTTTGAAAAGAAATAAAAGATGTGAGACTAATTAAAGGTTTTTCTCTTCTTATCTTTTGATCTACTGTTAAACAGGAAATATGACTTCAGAATTAAATGACAATGAAAATCAAGGATGAATGAAGCAATTGTTAGAGTTGCTGTGTTAGTAAATCTATATTTTGTCATTTATTTCTTGTGGTAGTAACGTATTTACTCTTACTTACATTGTCTGTGTTTTCATCATGCTATTACTGTCCCTTTGCAATAACATTTAGAGGCTTATAATGCATTAGAGCCCAGAAACTATTTTCTGTTTTTTTTTAGGATACTTAATGATGTTTCAAATTACAGTAAATCCTTCTATATCTGAATACCATTTATTTTCATTTTAAATCATCAGAAAATTTACCAACATTGATTTGTAGATTTTAATTATAAAGAAGGGGTCTTAGCTAGGCATAGTGACCCACGCCCGTAATCCCAGCACTTTGAGAGGCAGAGGTGAGAGGATTACCTGAGCTCAGGGGTTCGAGACCAGCCTGGGGAACTTGGCGAGACCTCATCTCTACAATAAATAAAAAAAATTAGCTGGGTGTGATGACGCACACCTGTAGTTCCAGCTACTTGGAAGACTGAGGCGGAAGGATCACATGAGCCTAGCAGGTCAAGGTTGCAGTGGTCGTGAGCGTGCCACTGTACTCCAGCCTGAGTGACAGAGTGAGACTGTGACTCAAAAAAAAAAAAAGAAGGAAAGTGTCGTGTGTGTGTGCACGCACGCGCGTCTGTATTTTTGTTTTCATTTTCTGCTAGTGTTCAGAATTTGTACTGACTCTGCTTAGTGACCTTCAGCAGACATGCATCCCCCAAGACATTGCTTCCTAAACTTCCTCCATTTACTCAGAGCCAGAAAGGAGGATGGTTATTTAAACTCTGGGCTGCTTCGTAGGAAGGAGGCAGCTCCCACCACGGGTAAGAAGTTGTTTGGATAGTGTGGGTGATCCTTTATTTAATGCAAGCAATCTTAAGTTGCTTAGGTACTAGAAGGTAAGTTGTGTTCCATCTTTCATTAACCTCACTGCACTCACATGAAATAGGTGCTTTTCTAAGTATAGTAATGCCATCTTAATAGCATGACCTAATGTTTTATCTCCTTGCTACCAGATGTTATATTCGTTGAGTTTTGTTTTTTGTTCTTTTAAAAACGTTGATAGAAAAAAAGGAAATCAAGTTTTACTTTTTACTTGAAACATTAATATACTCTGTGTGTCTAATAAAGCTCACTTTATAAATAATGACCAATCATTTCATAGTACCGTAGGTATAATTACTTATAAGACCCTACTGCTTCACTCAGCATTGTATTTTTCACAATATAAAGAATCAAACAATCCTGGTGACATATATAAAAAGTTCCTGAGTTAATACATGTCTTGGGGGAGATAAAGTTATTATGCTTTTAAGCCATGATAATTTTAAGAAGTTGGTCAGTAAAGAAATGAAAACAAATTACCTGTACTCTCCTTTTATGCATACAAACCTTCTCTCTCTTTCTCTCTCTCTTTTTTTTTTTTTTTTTTTTGAGTTGGAGTCTCACTCCGTCGCCCAGACTGGAGTGCAGTGGCCGCTCCCGGCCACCGCAGCCTCGACCTGCTGGGCTCCGGCGATCCTTCTGCCTCAGCCTTCCAAGTAGCCAGAATTACAGGCGCGCGCAACCACGCCCGGCTGATTTTTTTTTGATTTATTGTAGAGATGAGGTCTCGCTGCCCAGGCGGGCCGCGAACCCGCGGGCTCAGGCAATCCACTCACCTCAGCCTCCCAAAGGCGCGGGATGACAGGCTGAGCCACCGAGCCTGGCTTCTCTCTTTTTTTTTTAAACAAAACTTCTCCTTTAGTCTGTTTGCATTGTGCAGAAGCATCAAATGCACCTTTGACAGAGAGATCAATGGAACGGATAGTAATAAGCCTAACTGTGTATGAGTATTCAGTATAAAATAAAGGTAACATTTAAACTCTCAGGAAAAAGAATATTGGAACAACTGAACGATCACTTGGAAAAAAGTTAAATTACCGAATACTGTATATCCAGTTAAATTTCAGAAGTATCAAAGACTTAAATGTATTTAAAAAGTGAAGTCTTAAAAATATTAATAGATAATACAGGTAAATATTGATAAGCTTAGAGGAGGAAAAAGTTTCAAGCCCGGACAGTCAAGCCACTAATCAATCATAAAGTGAAAAATGGTTGGTTCTTATCATATTCTATTTATTTATTTATATATTTCTTTCTTTCTTTTTGAGTCAGAGTTACTCTGTTACCTAGGCTGGAGAAGCAGTAATATGATCATGCTTATTGCTGCCTTGATTTCCTGGACTCAGGCAGTCCTTCCATCACAGCCTTCCTAGTAGCTGGTACTACAGGCATGTGCTACCATGCTCGACTAATTTTTTTTTATTTTTTGTAGAGATGAGTTCTTGCTATGTTGCCCAGTCCGGTCTGCATCTGCTAAACTCAAGTGATTTTACCACAGCCTCCTAGAGTGTTGAGATTATAGGCGTGAGCCACTGTGCCCAGAGCTGTTCTACAAAGTGAAAACAAAAATAAACATAACAAACCCTAGTGAAAATTAGGGCATATCATCCCATGTGACTAGTCCTAGTGGCACATAGGAAAACAAAATAACTCTTACAAGTTACTGTGAAAATAATGAGAATCCAATAAAAAAGTGGGCATTTGGTTACCAGAGGCAGTTGAAAAAATTAAAATGTCAATAAGGGTATTTAATAATTCAACTTTCCTAGTGATAAAAAAATTAAACTCAGTTAAATCAAATTAATTAAGACAACAGTAAGGTAAAAAGTGAAATATTGATTAATTTGGGAAAGAGATGTATATATACATATATATATCTGGCCAAATATATATGTGTGTGTGTGTGTTTTCTTTTTTCTTTCTTTCTTTTTTTTTTGACTTGTTTTTGGTAAAGATAGAGTCTCTCTATGTTACCCAAGCTGGTCTCAAAATTTTGGCCCCAAGTCATCCTTCTTCCTCAGCCTTCCAAAGTACTGGGATTCCGTGAACCACGGTACCTGGTCTGGCAGACATATAGAAAGTCAGTAATGATATGCATCATTGAAAAAAGGTAGAGCAAAGTCACTTTCCCAACCCTTTGCCTGGGGCATAAATAAATTCAGTTTTTGAAGGGAAGTTTGGGACTCTGTTACATTTTAAAATGTGCTTACCCACTTATCCAACAGTTCTACTGTTAGGAATTTAATCTAAAAAACTATTAGGATGACAATTTTAAAAAATAATAGTATACAATTGGAAGTACATCTTCATCCATTGATAGGGAAATGGTAAAGTTAGTAATGCCATAACCTTCTAAAATAATTTATAAAAATAATTGATAATTGATTAAAATAATAGTAGCTAACCCTTAAATAGCATTTGCTATATGTGAAGTACTATTCCAAGCGCTGCGTGTATTCATTGACATGGAAAGAAATATATATTGTTAATAAAAACTTCAACTGTTCTTTGTTTAGACAACAGACTCATAAATATGTATATATAGAAAGAATTGCATTTGTGTATGTTTGTGGGTGATGTATGTCTGTGCATGTGGGTGTAGGCAGAGAAAAGTACCTCTTGGTGATTATACACTGATAGTGATCATCCTAGATTGTGGAATTATTGGTAACATTTGTTTTCTTTCTCTGTGGTTACTGAAAGCTTGGCAATTAGCATGTTTTAATGATATGTTCAACAAATAATTTTTAAACTAGAAATCTCACCATGCCTTGAAGTTACCAAATGCTATTAAGGTATTTGATTCCTCCATTAAAACTATCTTAGATATAACCTTTATAATATGATACTATGTTTTATTTTTTTGTTAGAATGAAAAAAAACTTGAAAAAGAAAAAAATAAGCAGAAGATGGAGAAAGGCAGTGATGACTGCCACCTAAAACACAGAATAGAACCTGAGCAAATAGAGACCCAGAGCCAGATTGGTGACAGTAGCCAAAAAAATGATGAACTTGGACTAGTAGACAATTATAAGGAGGCCTTAACACAACAGCTGGAGAATGAAGATGAGACAGATCAGCGATCATCAGAATCAGGTGACACAGCTAGTTATCTATGGTGATTTCCATGTGTATTTATAAATAAAGCCTATATACTTCATTTAGCATGTTTATTTTCACCAAAAAGTACTGTAATTTTTTTGTCTTCAAGTGTCATGATTTTCTCATATTTTTTAATGACTCATTAGCCAATTTGTTCCTAAAATTTATTTTTTTATTTTTATTTTTTGTTTTTAGTAGGCATCTCACTCTGTCTCTCAGACTGGAGTACAGTGACATGCTCATGGCCACCACAGCCTCGACCTGCTGGACTCAGGTGACCCTTCCACCTCAGTCTTCCAAGTAGCTGGAATCACAGGTGCACACCACCATACCCAGCTCATTTTTTAAATTTATTGTAGAGACGAAGTCTCGCCGAGTTGCCCAGGCTGGTCTTGAAACCCTGAACTCAGGCAATTCTGTTGCCTCTGCCTCCCAAAGTGCTGAGATTACAGGTATAAGCCACTGCACTCGGCTAATATGTTTTTTTCCCATGATGACATAAAATGTGACTCATTGTAACCATCAAATTTTCAGCAGAAAATTCAATTTTATTTTTGTAAATTTGGAATACAGGATAGTGTTCAAATATCCTTGGAATGTATGGAACATCTCTAAAGCTTTTTTTAAAAAAGTGTTTTGTAAGCCTTATAATGCTACTGCAGCATCATTTTCATTGTTGACTGGCTATTTCTCTAGGATACAGACATCATTAGTAGAACGTGTTTTAAAAGTCTTGTCAAAAGTTACTTTTCTCTTGTTTTGATATCATGTAAGGCCAGGCATAGTGGCTGATACATGTAATCCCAGCACTTTTGGAGGCCGAAGCGGGAGAATTGCTTGGGGCCAGGAGTTCCAGACCAGCTTAGGCAGCATAGTAAGACTTTGTCTTTATAAAAATATCCAAATAATTAGCTGGGTGTGGTAGCATGTGTCTGTAGTCCCAGCTATTCAGGAGGCTGAGGTGAAAGCATCACCTGAGCTCAGAAGATTAAGGCAGCAGTGAGCTGTGATCATGCTACTGCACAAGTCTGGGTGACAGAGTGAGACCCTGACTCAAAAAAAAAAAGAAAGGTTAAAAATTAAAAAAATAAAATAAAAAAATCTTCAACCTACAATTGCTTTTTTTCCGAACTGATTATATGGTTTAATAGAACTTTCATGTCTTATGTTGCCAGAGAGATAGTCCACATTTGGAATCAGACAACCTGGAATAGAATCTTGACTCTCATCTAGTAGATATATATGTTAAGTTATATAGCATTCTTCATCTCTAAAATGGGGATTAACAACATCATCTTTCTTCACAGAGCTTTTAGGGTGACATATAAAATAGCTTTACAATGTTCCTAGCAGTGTGTGCCATGTGAGAGTTGCCAAATAATTGTCACTTCCCTGCATTTCTAGTTAGTGATATGACTTCGTGGAGATAATAATTTGTTATAATATCACATGATATATGAAAATAAGACTTCAATCCTTGAGGTACTTTGGCTAACATGAATATTTTGCTAGATTAAAAATATTAGACTTGCAAGTTATGCTTTTTGTCAGTTGGGAAGTTAGGACAGTCATGTTTGTACTCATATACCTCTGTCAGCAGAGTTCAAAAGAATGAAGATGCATTATAGTGGTCTCTTCAAGTTTGTAAAAAGTATGCTAACACTGACATATTGTTAAAGAACAAAATGATTTGGCAAATGATTTGAAAATAAAGCATAGGGAGATCTAAGAGAGTAAGCAGTATAACTACAATAATAATATTACATTTTAACTTTGAAACATGTCTTGAGATGCTCTGTATTATTCAACACAGCATTGGGCTATTTAGCATAGCAATCCTGGGTGTATTAGCCCCACTATATAAATGAGGAAACCAAGGACTTGAGGAGGTTGATAACTGGTTTAAGATCATACATCTTATCTGTGTATAGGCAGAGACCTCAGTCCAGACCATCTGGTCCCATCTTCTGTTCTCTCATGACCCTGAGCTCTGCCCATCCTCAAGTACCTTATTTTGTGGAGCTCTCTTTGTATTCCTCCAGTTGTAAAACTTACTGTTTTAATGTAAAAAGACTTCTTTCTATCTGGAGTAAAATGTTTCAAATGACACGAATTTATATAGAAAAATAATTTGTTTCTAAATATGTTTGTTTTTCTTGCTTTGTAGGCTTCACAGATACTAGATATTTTTTATGTTACAGATAATTCCCATTTTAAATAATATATTACGTATAGAAATAAATTAAGCAGTTTGAAATTGTCTGTTGAGGTACTGCAATAGGCTGGACGTGGAGGCTTATGCCTGTAATCCCAACACTGTGGGAGGCAGAGGCGAGAGGATTGCCTGAGTGTAGGAGCGTGAGACCAGCCTGAACAACATGGCGAGACCTCATTTCTATAGTAAATCAGAAAATTAGTTGGACGTGGTGGTGCGGGCTTGTAGTTCCAGCTACTTGGAAGGCTGAGATGAAAGGATCGCCTGAGTCCAGCAGGTCGAGGCTGCAGTGGCCGTGAGCACGCCACTGCACTCCAGCCTGGGTGGTGGAGTGAGACTCTGACTCAAAAAAAAAAAAAAAAAAGAAATATTGCAGTAATTTTGATGTTCTAAATTTGGTTACTACTGTGCAATCCTGGTTTACGTTGTTAAAATTTACACATTAGCATAGATATCCTTAAAATGTTTGTTTATGCTTAAGTAAGACTTTGTAATTTTTTTTAAAGAAAGAACAGAAATTCAATTCTGCTAGTCTACTAATATAGTTTCAATTACATATATTCGTATTGGGTATTCCTTGTTCGAAGCATCAGTGAGCAAGATTTTTAGATTTGACTAGGATCTTTATTCACATTTCAAAGGATTGTTTGGGGACTATTTATACTTAGAATCATTCTACATAACCCAGTGAGAAAGTCAAATATATTATATGGCCCAGACCTGAATACTGTAGCCTTTGTCCCCAGGCCGTTCTGAGTTTCATGGAAACTGCTGCAATTAGACGATCATGTTTGTTTTGTATGACGTTTGGAAGAAATGCAGTTGCTTTTGTAAATGTGACCTTTTCTTTTTGTTTTCCAAAAAACCTCTCTTAGAACTCAAAACAGACTTTTGGCTGTTTGTATCATATTCGATAATCATTCATTCATTCAATAAGCCATCACTTAAAACATTTATTCTTAGTAAATGCAAGTTCACATTTGGTTATTAATGACATTCCAAAGTTGAATAGAAGATGTTTCTGTGTTAATAATACCGATATTCTTGTTTTATTCTTTGCTTTCTATTATAAAAGTTCACTTTCCCCCCAAAGGTAAAAAGTTTCATGTTTATATTCTTGTAGATAATGGCAAAAGGAAAACTAAGAAGCTAAGAATGAAAAGGAGTCACCGGGTAGAACCAATTAACCCAGATGACTCTGCTCCTAAGAGTCCAGCACCAGCCCCACCGCCGCCTCCTAGTGAGTCAATTGATACTTATACTGAGTTTAGAAATGCTGCGTTAAACAATAGAGAAAAAAGAAGGAAAAAAGGGTATAGTTTTTATTCAGTATGCTCATTATTTTGTGGATTTCTGAAAAATAATCACTCTAATTTGTTCAAAATTTGTCGACATAAATATCAATTGCTTTTTTAAATCAGAAAAAAAATTTTATAAAAATAAAAAACAAAAGAAGAAACTATTAAGAAAACCTTACCCAGTACTTCCTAGAATATGTTGAAATTCTGTTTGAAATATCAGTACCCAGATTGCTGAAAATAATTTGTTTCATGGATGGGTGGCTAATGTGAGCTTTTAAAAAATTGGACATTTTATCTTTAAAGTTAACATTTGAACCAGGATGTATTAATTTGTCTAATATGTTTCTAACATAGCTACCTACCTTCTAGGTTTTTATGAGGATTAAATGGAGTAATACACGTAAAATACTGGGACATAACTGTACCATAACTGTCACTTTTCAGTACTAAGCATAGTACCTCACTTACTATCGGTGCTCAATAAACATCTGATGACCAGATCAATGTGTTTATCGTGCCCGTAGAGCACTGTTATAGGGTTTTAGATAGTGACGTTTTCTTTTAGAATGTTTTAAATACTCAATTCTAGTATTTCATTTATTTAAAAAAATTTAGTCTCTGCTAGGGGTTAGTTATGATGGTAGTGAAGGTGTTTATATTTTTAATTAACATGAATGAAACCTAAAGCATATGTTAGCAGCCTATAACTAATTTTAAAATAGAATTCATTTAAAGTAGGTTTATGGCTCTTCACGACTGTGGTGTCCTTCAGTTTATTTGAATTGACATTGAATGTTGTGCACACTTCTGCAAGACAGGGATCTCAACAGACCTAAGGCGACATTGTTTAACAGTGTTTTTAAATGTTTTTCTCTTTCTGTAGTTGGCTGGGGAACCCCTAAAGTCACTAGACTTCCAAAACTTGAGCCTCTTGGTGAAACACGTCATAATGGTAATGCAAATGTCTGTGTATATCACATCCACTTCTCTATACCGCATTACTTCAGCAAACATACATTTCACTTTTGGAAGCCTTTCAAATTCACAGCCATCCTTTTTCATTACACTTTTTTTGTTAGTTTTTTTCCTTAAGTACGCTCTGCATCTGTATAATTTTGTTTGATGTTTACCATAGAATACAAAGGTAAAAAGAATTAATACTTTGTGTTTATTCATGATGTATTTATGGAAGTAGTTATGAAAAGGGTAAGCTTTTCAAACAATTAAAATGAGACATAGCAATTATACTTACAGTTAAAAAGCTGCAGTGTCCCCTATGTGCTCAATAATACAGCATAATTTTTCTGTCTACTTCTTAGACACCCAGATGCATAATATTAAAATCAAGTAAAGATCAACACAGTTTGTAAAATCAGAGATCAACTCAGTAAACCAAATAAAATTTGGCTAAATAGAAAGTTACTAAAAGTTTTATTCAATTAAGAGAAGAATTTTATTTTTAAAATTTTCTTTTTAAATTTTATTTTTGAGATGGAGTCTCTCACTCTGTCACCCAGGCTAGAGTGCAGTGGCATGATCATAGCTCACTGCAGCCTCAGACTCCTGGGCTCAAATGATCCTCCTGCCTCAGCCTCTGGGGTATCTGGGACCACAGATGTGTGCTACCATGCCTGACTAATAAAAAAAAGTGTTTTTTTGTAGAGACAAATTCTTGTGTTGCCCAGGCTGACCTCAAACATTGTGGCCTCTAGTGATTCTCCCATCTTGGCTTCCCAAAGTGCTGGGATTACAGGTGTGAGCCACCATACCCACCAGGAGAACAATCTTGTTTGAGTCATTTTACATGAAGTCCAGCCAGTATATGGCTTAAGAACTCCAGGTTGCAAAAACTAGGGAAAGGACAATTAGGAGTGGCCTAAATGCCTAGTAATACAGGTAGAAGTTCTGGTTACAGACCATTAGTCTGGGTTCTTTTAGTAAGATATTTCTAGAATACAAAAGAATAATTTTATGTAATTGTAGCCCAATAAACTTGTCTGCTGACAACTGAGTTCCCTTTTTGATGACTCTGTGTTTACCTAATCTAGAACTTGGTTTCATTTACTAGAAAAAAAAGAAGTTTAATCTTTAGAAAAGCATTATCATATAATTATTTGAAATATTGTGTATATTATGTAAACTATGTAAAGTATTTTTATTCAGAGTGCATAAATATAAATGTGCTATTTGCTTTTTTTTCCAGAATTATTTAAGTCAGTAATGAAATATTTCTTGATAATCATCAGTGAAAACTAACCTTTTTTTTGAGCTGGAGTCTCACTCCATCGCCAGGCTGGAGTGCAGCGGCATGCTTATGACCACTCCAGCGTTGATCTCCTGGGCTCAGGCAATCCTTCCACCTCAGCCTTCCAAGTAGTCAGAACTATAGGTGCGCGCTATCACACCTGGCTAATTTTTTTATTTATTGTAGAGATGAGATCTTGCCAAGTTCCCCGGGCTGGTCTTGATCCCCTGAGCTCAGGCAATTCCCTCACCTCGACCTCCCAAAGTGCTGGGATTACATGCTTGAGCCACCGCGCCCAACCTTTTTTTACATTTTTAAAGACAGAAAAGTTTGTCCTTAGCTTATATCAGAATCACTGAATGGTCTTTCCATTGGAATCACATATCTCTGTTTAATTTACTGACTTTACATAATGATGTTTATATTGAGTGTAGTAGATTCGTTCCTGTTTTGTAATATGATTCAGCAAACTTGTATACATTAGAATACATTGTTAATTTAAAGATTTACTGTGTGGTTATAAAAGACTAGGTAAGTTAGTGTGTGTATGTATGTGTATACCAACACACATATAAAGAAAAAAATATTAATTTTCATAAGACAGTTTTTTTTTTTTTTACTGAGTCATCATTCAACCAGCAACTGTTTTATATTTGACACTATCTAAACCATTGGTCACAACAAGATGAATAAGAAATCCTTCCTGCCTTTGTGAGGATCCTAGTGTAATAGAGAAGACAGTATCTCAGTTCACTCTAGTGTGTATGGCAGTAAGTCCTGTGGTATACAGTTGTGTACGAGCTGCATGGGCAGTTAGAACTGAGAGTTCAGGGAATGAGAAGAGTGAGCAGAGAAACAGACTATTCAAAGGCAGAGAGGTAGGAAAGAATATTGTGTATTTGGAGAAGGGCATGAAGTTACTTGTGACTGAAGCTTAGGTTCTTGTGCACAGAGTGGGTAAGAAAGAGAAAATTTTAAACTATGGAGAGTGTGGAAATGGAATTCTGGCTTAGGGTCAGATTGTGTAAGTCTTCATATATATGTTAAGATGTCTGGACTTTCTATAATTTTCAAGGCATACTCTTTTTTCTTTTTTTGTGAGTTGGAGTCTCAGTGTTGCCCAGGCTGGAGTGCAGTGGCATGCTCACGGCTACCACAGCCTCAACCTGCTGGGCTTAGGTGATCCTTCTGCCTCAGCCTTCCAAGTAACCGGAACTAGAAATGCACACCACCACGCCTGGCTAGTTTTTGTGATTTATTGCAGAGACGAGAGCTCGCCAAGTTGCCCAGGCTGGTCTCGAACATCTGGGCTCAGGCAGTCCTTTCGCCTTGGCCTCCCAAAGTACTGGGATTACAGGCTGAGCCAATGTGCCTGGCCTAAATTGTGTACTTCCTATTTCTTTTCTTTTCTTTTTTTGAGATGAGGTCTTGCCAAGTTGCCCAGGCTGGTCTCAAACTCTTGGGCTCAGGCAATTCTCTCACCTCTACCTCCTGAAGTGCTGGGATTACAGGCGTGAGCCACGACGCCTGGCTACTCTTCATTTTCACGACGCCTGGCTACTCTTCATTTTCAAAAGGGAAAATAATGTTATTGGATTTGCTGCTTAGGAAAGTAATTTTGGTCACAATGTAGTACAGACTTGATGGTGGCTAGAGCTAGTGTAGAATCCTTGTTAATGAGGCTGTTTCAGTGGTCAAAGTAAAAGCAAGGAATGTGAAGGAATGGAGAGTGAAAAAAATACATGCAAGGAATATTTTAACAATCATAATTAATATTTGATGAATGCTTGTGTGAGTTGAAGACAAAAGGAATAGAGTATAATTTGACTTAAGGGAATGGAACATTGGTGCTATCTCTAAGATTGAAGATATATGAGGAGGAAGAAGAAAACCTATTATGGAGAAACATATAGCAGTGTCTGTAAGCTTATCTCTTTGGACATGCTAAAGGCCAGTACAAGTAAGATTCTGGAGTTCAGGAGAAATGAAGGGACCCAGGACAGTAGGTGGCAGGGTACGTATGCGTAGGTAGTCGGTCCCCGTCGTCGGGTCATCACCCCCCCCCCCCCCCCCGTCATCACATAATGGAAGTATTTTTGAATGATGCTCTGTAATTGTTTACTGAATGGATGCCTTTGAGGGAATGATAGTTGCTGTTTGTTGTTTCTAAGGGAAATCATGTCAAGTGAGACGAAAAGAACTGGTGGCATTCATGGGGAACATTACAGTTAGGGCCAGTGGGAAAAGAGGTTAAAAATGGACTTGAGAAGCTTTCTTTTTTCTTTTTCTGTTTTGTTTTATTTTATTTTATTTTAGACTCTCCCATGCTGGAGTGCAGTGGCATGCTCATGGTCACTGCTGCCTCGACCTGCTGGGCTCAGATGATCCTTCTGCCTCAGCTTTCCAAGTAGCTGGAACTACAGACACATGCCACCATGCCTGGATAATTGTTGGCTTTATTGTAGAGATGAGGTCTCCCCAAGTTGCCCGGGCTGGTCTTGAACCCGCGGGCTCAGGCAGTTCTCTCACCTTGACCTCCCAAAGTGCTGGGATTATAGGCATGGCCACCACGCCTGGCCCTGTGTTTGTTTTTAAATTAGAACTCCTGTTGGGTGCCGTGGCTCATGCCTATAATCCCAGCACTTTGGGAGGCCGAGGTGAGAGGATTGTCTGAGCCCGTGAATTTGAGACCAACCTGGGCAACTTGGCGAGACTTCTCTCAACAATAAATCAAAAAATTAGCCGGGCGTGGTAGCGTGCACCTGTAGTTTCAGCTAGTTGGAAGGTTGAGGCAGAAGGATCACTGGAGCCCAGCAGGTCGAGGCTGTGGTGACTGTGAACCTAGCCTGGGTGACAGAGTGAGACTCCAATTCAATCAACCAATCAGTCAATCACTCACGGGAAAGAATTATAATAAATAAGTTAAGACTGGGCATGGTGGCTCATGTCTATAATCCCAGCACTTTGGGAGGCCACGGTGGGAGAATCCCTTGAGCGAAGAAGTCTGAGACCTGCCTAGACAACACAGTGAGACCTGGTCTCTACAAAAAAATTTAAAAATTAGCTGGGTGTGGTGGTGTGTGCCTGTAGTCACAGCTACTCAGGAGGCCGAGGCATAAGGATCACCTGAGCCCAGGAGATTGAGAGTGCGGTGAGCTGTGATTGTGCCACTGCATTCTAGCCTGGGCCACAAAGTGAGACCATGACTCAAAAAATAATGATAATGATAATAACAGTAATAAAAAAAATTAAAGCCACTGTTTTCTAATATTTCATTTAGCTTTCAGTTCCGAGCGAACACTATAACTTTATAAGTTTTAAAAACTTTTTGTTATATTTTCCCATAAATCCTAAGTCAAAGTGTGACTAACTTATGAAAGCAGTCGACTCTGCTTTCATTAAATCAATTTTTAGGGTTTATAATGAGATGTTCGTTATAGGTACCAATTGTATCCTCTTCTTTGCTTAACTTTCTACACATTTCTTTGTCTTTATATCCTGAGGCATATTGATAAAAGACTGATGGCAGGTAGACAACAGATATATGGTAAACCAGAGTAGATAATTGAAAGTCAACTGATTTGGCTTGGTTTAAAATTTATTGAGTTGGAAAACAATTTGCGGTAGTCCGACTGGGCATTTTTAAGGCAGAGACATTTTTACCTTGGTAGCAATTTGATTCTACTTTTCCAATTGCTTTTATTGCCCACAAAGTTTGCTCAGTGTAACAGGTAAGATAGATACATTCAGAGAAGGGACTTAAAAAGAGAATCGATACTCATTTCGTAAATACCCTCAAGTTGTACTTTATCACTATGTTAGGTATTAGGTATTATACACTATAAGAAATGAATCAGATTCTGTTGGCGAAAAATACTGAATGCACAAACTAAACAATAATTTCAAATCTTAAAATTATAAAAGAAAATAAAATTCTGCATATAGTTTTGCTGCTTTTCACTTTTCATGCTCAAAATTTGAAGCCCTTTGTAAAACTGTGATGGCAGTTAAAATAGTCATTTTAGATGGGCACAAAGATCAACTTATGTCCTCTACAAGTAAGGCAAGAAGAAACTTACTTTGTATAGACTGATTCAATTTTATGGCAAAGAAATAGTACAAAATTAATTGCAGAGGTAAACAGTTTCTGGGGAGAGAAAATGACATTTCTTGCTTTTGCATTTTTTTTAAAGTATTCTTTAATTCAAAATCTAAAACCAGCTGGGCTCAGTGGCACAGCCTGTAATCCCGTGCCTTGGGAGGCTGAGGTGAGTTGATTGCCTGAGCCCGTGGGTTCGAGACCTGCCTGGGCAACTTGGCGAGACCTCATCTCTACAATAAATCAAAAAATTAGCTGGGCGTGGTAGCGCGCGCCTGTAATTCCAGCTACTCTGAAGACTGAGGCGGAAGGATCGCCGGAGCCCAGCAGGTCGAGGCTGCGGTGGCCGGGAGCGGCCACTATACTCTAGTCTGGCGATAGAGTGAGACTCCAACTCAAAAAAAAATAAAAAATAAAACCTATTAGAAAACATATCCACTCTGGTTTAATTGTGAATTCTGTTAGGTATTAGAATTCTATAAGTTTTGAATCCAAGAAATTAAAGAAAACATACTTTAAATATATCAAAATAATTGAGTGTCTCTTAATTATAGCAATAATAATAACTGCATATACCATGTGCCTGGCACATTGCTAAACACTTTAGGTATTTATCTCATTTTAATTCTCCCAAATTACCTGATGAGATGGGCAGCAATATTGCCATTTTTTGCAATGGGAACCAATGTCCTAAGGTCACATAGCTAATAAGTAGCAGAATCAGAATTTGAACTTAGGCCTATCCAGCTTTGAAACCTAGACCTTAAATTCATTATGTAGTACAATTACATTAAGACTTGCTGGGACATCCCAGCAGCTTAGCAGTTGCTTAGAATTTATAGTTGTTTTACAAATCATTTTACCCAAATATATTTTTAACATAGTTATTTTTTGTGATCCTGAGCACCTTTACTTCCAGGATAATTTTAAGGTTAGTAGACCAGAAAGTAATTACTTAGTGAAGGTTTACATGTGTCATTGCATGTATAAGCCAATTTATGATAATTAAGGAATAGAAATTTATTTTAAAGGACAAAATAAGACTTTTTACATAAAATATGTCCCAAATCACCGAACTATATTGAAGCTTTGTTAAAAAATTCAGCTTTTGCCGGGCTCGGTGGCTCAGCCTGTAATCCCATGCCTTTGGGAGGTTGAGGTGAGTGGATTGCCTGAGCCCCATGGGTTCGAGACCCACCTGGGCGGCGAGACCTCATCTCTACAATAAATCAAAAAATCAGCCGGACGTGGTAGCGCATGCCTGTAATTCCGGCTACTCGGAAGGCTGAGGCGGAAGGATTGCCGGAGTCCAGCAGGTCGAGGCTGTGGTGGCCGGGAGCGGCCACTGCACTCCAGTCTGGGCGACAGAGTGAGACTCCAACTCAAAAAAAAAAAATTCAGCTTTCAAGAACATTAGAATAATTAATGCTTCTCCTAAAATACCTAGAAGTGACAGCCACTGGATAAGAACATAGAGTGGACTTATCAGGACTTTAGCAAGAGATTTCATAGATTTTGAATAGTTTACGTTTGTTCTAGTGTGCTTGTGTATTTCAAACAAAAAAGAATAAATATATCTATTAGATGTATCTCTTTATTAAATCTAGTAGAGATTAATTTCTAATCTAGAGTTTATGAATTTACCCTAGTGATTATGCTTTTGAATTTGTTCAAGTTTTCTTGGATTTTAATTTTTTTTTTTTTTTTTGAGGTGGAGTCTCACTCTGTCCCCCAGACTGGAGGGCAGTGGCCGCTCCTGGCCACCGCAGCCTCGACCTGCTGGGCTCCGGCGATCCTTCCGCCTCAGCCTTCCGAGTAGCCGGAATTACAGGCATGCGCTACCACGCCCGGCTGATTTTGATTTACTGTAGAGACGAGGTCTCGCCGCCCAGGCGGATCTCGAACCCACGGGCTCAGGCAATCCACTCACCTCAGCTTCCCAAAGGCGCGGGATTACAGGCTGAGCCACCGAGCCCGGCTTGGATTCTAATTTTTTTTTGCTGTCTTTTCAACTCATTGTATCACCTGCCGACTTAGACTATCTTACTGTTTTAAAGGTGTGTTGGTTGGAAAATAGTGGACTGTGTCAAAAGTCTTGATTTGTCATAACTGTTTCGTGCTTTTTATTTCCCTCCCTGACATAGATTTCTATGGGAAGCCGCTGCCTCCCCTGGCTGTGCAACAGAGACCTAACAGTGACGCTCACAGTACACCCTCCTAGCCAGTTCGTGTGGATGAGCTCTCTTAATACCAGCAAGGTGAACTGGGATGCTGTTTCTCAACAGAAGAGAAAGCCTGAACGTTGATGCTTGGGGCGAGATAACCATAGTGATTTCAGTGAGGTGGTTAATAGTCAAGGACCTGACCTGATAATTACTTATCCATGTTCTTCATGGTTAAAAAAGAAAGGCAGCAAAACGACCAGGAGATGGGATGGAGTTTTGCACTAAGCAAGATTAGTGTTGACTCTAGTTTATACGTCCCCACTCAGGGGCATATTCCTCAAGGAAAATCTCTTCCGAAAAAGAGCCAATGGACTCTGCACCCTTTCTTTAGTATTTGTTTAATTGTCTGTATTTCTATATATGAAACATTTTTAATAAAATATATGCACATGGAAGGGGAACTTCTGGGCATTTATAACCTAAATTTGTAACTATTTTTATATTTTTCTAAAACTTTAAAAATTTTAATTATTATGATACTGCATTTGTGTACTTTTCTATAGATGCTTTTTAAAAATTGTGTCTGGAAAATAGAGTTGATTACTTGATAGACATGAACTATACAAACAGGATATATTTATATGGCTTGAAGTATGTTTTGTAATAGCATTGTTCTTGAAGTGTACATCCAAACTTGACCAAATTTTAAAAGAATACCTTTTGGCTGGGCTCGGTGGCTCAGCCTGTAATCCCGCGCTTTGAGAGGCTGAGGTGAGTGGATTGCCTGAGCCCACGGGTTCGAGACCCACCTGGGCAACTTGGCGAGACCTCATCTCTACAATAAATCAAAAATTAGCCGGGTGTGGTAGCACACGCCTGTAGTTTCAGCTACTTGGAAGGCTGAGCCGGAAGGATCACCGGAGCCCAGCAAGTCGAGGCTGCGGTGGCTGGGAGCAGCCACTGCACTCCAGTCTGGGCAACAGAGTGAGACTCCAATTCAAAAAAAAAAAAAAAAGAATACCTTTTTAAAACAATAGATTCTGAGATCTTTATTCTGCCAAATTATGTGATTTGAAAGTAGTGGTGATGATCTCAAATGAAAGTGACTAGAAAGTCCTTCTGTTTCTAAATGCCTTTAAAGTTAACCAAAATATGTTCCATGAGATATTATTAAATGTCTCAGTAAACCCGTTTTCAAGGTTGACACTTACAGTGATCAGGGTGAGTCCCCCATTTCCTCAGAAGCTGCAGTCACTCTTGGATTATTCTCATTCTTTCAAGCCTTGACCTTAAAGGCAAAAAGCCTGAAAAAGCTACTGCAGTTCCCAAGGCTTGTGCTTTACAACTGAGAAATAGCTTTGGTAGTAAAGCAATAAGAGTAAAATGTTGGCTCAAAATTACTTTTAGAAAGAAATAATTCCAAAATAATTTCTCAATTTGAAATGATAGCACTTCTCTTGGATTTGAGCATGGCATTCATAAGAATCTCTAGTCTTCTGGCATTTAGACAAATTTTAGGTGTATATTTTGAGTCATAGATTCATAAAATTGCATTTCATTGAAAACATACCTTTAATTAACCCTTATCAACAAGGGTGCCTGAATGATGTATATTTGTATACCCAATACTTAACTGTACCCCACAATTTTAAAATAAAAAATATGTTTATAAAAAAAAGAAAGAAAGAAAACATACCTTTATATCCAGGTGAAAATACTATAAAGATGATGATTTCCAGGCTGGGCTCGGTGGCTTAGCCTGTAATCCCCGCACTTTAGGAGGCCAAGGCGAGTGGATTGCCTGGGCCCGTGGGTTCTAGACCAGCCCAGGCAACTTGGCAAGACCTCCTTTCTTCAACAAATTTTTAAAAAATTAGCCGGGCGTGGTAGCGCACTCTTGTGGTTCAGACTACTTGGAAGGCTAAGGTGGAAGGATCGATGGACCCCAGCAGGTCAACGCTGGGGTGACCGTGAGTGTGCCACTGTACTTCAGTCTGGGCAACAGAGTGAGACTCCAACTCAAAAAAAAAAAAAAGGGAATGATTTTTGTATCAGATTGTAAAGATTGGTGCTTTTGATAGCTTGTACTGACAGCAGACATATATTTGTATGTGATAATAAAGTTAATAAATATGTTTAATGAAGTTTAATATCATTATTTACTTTTAACATTTTACTTAAGAGCACCACATTTTATTCATATTTTTAACTCACTGAACTTTCATTAACAGGTCACTTATTTCCCTAGTCAGCATCGTTTTGTTTCTGTTTGTACGTGGGACCTACCTACCACATTGAGTGAGTAAAAAGCACTGGACTTCAAATATAAAATTTATAACAACCTATTTAACTGGCAACTGAAACATGATGAACAGCAACACAGGAAGATAGGCTGTCAATTTTGAAATGGAATTTAGAGGGGGTGTTTCACAACTCTCTCCTTTTGTAACATTTAATGTATTCAATTTTAAGACTAAACTCATACTTTTGCCATCTTTTTTAATATTTATCAGATTTTGGAGTATAAATGTTCTTAAAATTTTTATTCCTTATCAGTGTTTAGTGTAATTACTGACTCTATTTAATAAAAATGATTTTGAAATTAAATGTTATAAAATAGAATTTGTGTTTTATATAGCTCTCTCAAAATATTAATTTGTACTCTTAAAGCATTCTAAAATACTTTAACAGATATTTTGTAAATCCAGGTGGATTTTAACAGTTAAATGCCTATTTTGTTATATGCTACATTTTTATTCTTAATCATCATGAATTATGACATATTCACACAATAAAATTAATTTATATCAGTAGCCTGTTTATCTTGTCATTTGGTAGATTTAAATGATTTTCCTTGGATAATAAAAAATAGGTAAGGAGCCGGGCTCGGTGGCTCAGCCTGTAATCCCTCGCCTTTGGGAGGCTGAGGTGAGTGGATTGCCTGAGCCCACGGGTTCGAGACCCGCCTGGGCAGCGAGACCTCATCTCTACAATAAATCAAAAAATCAGCCGGGCGTGGTAGCACATGCCTGTAATTCCGGCTACTCGGAAGGCTGAGGCGGAAGGATCGCCGGAGCCCAGCAGGTCGAGGCCGCGGTGGCCGGGAGCAGCCACTGCACTCCAGTCTGGGCGACAGAGTGAGACTCCAACTCAAAAAAAAAAAAAAAAAAATAGGTAAGGAATTTTAAATATGTTCATGGAAATAATTTAAATCAGTAGATTAAAATAACAGACAAGAAATTAAAATAAAACTTTTTGTTATTTTACATGAAAAACTTTGCAAATTTTTATATATGTGGGAAAAATGTGATTTTAAATGCGACTAAAAATAGCATTTCACTGTATGATTCTAGATGATTTGACGTCTGTCTTGTTGAAGCTACTGGTCAATAGATATAATTTTATTTGTTTAAAAGATAATTCCATATGCCTTTATGTGTAAAATACATATGTATATGATATATATACACTATTGTACATAATTGATGTCAAATATAAAATATGCATAAAATAACACTAGAAAGAAATGTTGCAAAGTGCTAATAGTAAATTTTTTAGAGTTACTGCTTGTATATTCTTGAAATTTCAAATTATTTTTGTAGTTTGGTTTTGTTTTATAGTGGGAGAAGCAAATTTATAATTTTGCATAAATTAAGTACCATGTTTTCTGCAAGTTTAAAATTAAATGCTCTTTTAAATGTCAAATGAAGGACGAGATTTCCCTTAACATGAAAACTTGTGAACAGCCTGGAGCAGTTTGCCTATAAAATACACCCTTATATTTGCAGCTGATCTTTTACTACATTTTCTTTTTTTCTTTTTTTTTGAGTTGGAGTCTCACTCTGTTGCCCAGGCTGGAGTGCAGTGACACGCTCACTGACACCACAGCGTCAACCTGCTGGGCTCAGGCAATCCTTTCACCTCATCCTTCCAAGTAGCTGGGACTACAGGCAAGTGCTACCATGCCTGGCTAATTTGTTTGTTTGTTTGTTTTAGAGACGCGTCTTTCCAAGTTGCCCAGGCTGATCATGAACCCCTAGACTCACGCAATTCTCTCACCTCGGCCTCCCAAAGTGCTGGGATGACAGACTTGAGCCACCGCACCCAGCCACATCACATGTTTTCTTGCTGTGACAATATTTGGATTTGATACTCAGTTTGATGTGCTGTGCTGTTCAGTTACTCAGTTTCTTCCATTTCAGTTAAAGAAAATAGAATGCTTCTAGGTAGAAGAGCTTTTCTTTCTTTCTTTCTTTCTCTCCCCCCCTCTTCTTTCTTTCTTTCTTTTCTGTTGGAGTCTCACTGTCACCCAGGGTGGAGGGCATGGTACAAACCTGCCTCAGCCTTCCAAGTAGGTGGCACTACAGGCATGTGCCACCACGCCAGGCTAATTTTTTTGATTTATTGTACAGATGAGGTCTCACCAAGTTGCCCAGGCTGGTCTCGAACCTGTAGGCTCAGGCCTCTTGCCTCAGCCTCCCAAAGTGCTAGAATTATAGGTGTGAGCTGCCATGCCCAGCCAGAAGAGATTTTTTTCTTAAAAAAAAAGTTTTAATTTTAAACATGTGGAGTTCAATTCAAGGTTAGGTATACAAAAAATGTCCATTATGCAGGTACCCTTGTTGATGAGGCGTGCCCACTCCCCAGCCCCTGCAGTTTCTACTACGGCCAATCCCTTTCTTACAGTGTCATGATAGTTGTTCAAGTCCACTTATGAGTGAGAACATGTGATACTCGGTTCTTTGTTTCTGTGATAGATCACTCAGTATTATAGCCTCTAAGTCCATCCAAGTTGCTGTGAAGTTCATAATTTTGTCCTTCTTTATGGCTGTGCATATGTACCACATTTTTAAAATCCAGTACTCTTTTGTTGGGCAGCACGGTTGGTTCCATGTTTTTGCTATTTTGAATAATGCTGCAGTAAACATGCGTGTGCAGTTATCTTTTTCATAGAGTGTTTGAATTCCTCTGGGTATATTCCCAGTAAGGGGATTGCAGGGTCGTATGAGAGATCATTTTTTATATCTTTTAGGAATTGCCACACTGTTTTCCATAGAGGCTTTTTGCCAGAAGAGCTTTTCAAAAGTGAAACTGCTGTCAGACACAGTGGCTCATACCTTTCTATAATCCCAGCACTTTGGGAGGCCAAGGCGAGAGGACTGCCTGAGCCCATGGGTTCAAGACCAGCCTGGGCAACTTGGCAAGACTTTGTCTCTACAATAAAAAAAAATTAGCCGGGCGTGGTGGCATGCATCTGTGGTTCCAGCTACTTGGAAGGTGAGGGGAAGGCTCACCTGAGCCCAGCAGGTCGAGGCTGCAGTGGCTGTGAGCATGCCACTGCACTCCAGCCTGGGTGACAGAATGAGACTCCAACTCAAAACAAAAAAAGTGAAATTGCTTATACAGTTTTATTTGTATATAGCTTATATAAATAAAGCTGTAGCATATAAACTTTATTGTCCTTGGCTTCTCTAAACAGAAGATGATTCTGCTAATACAATTATTTAATTTATCAGACATATATTCCAACTAGTGGGGACCAAAAGGAGGCCCAAAGTTTACTTGTATGATGACCACTTATCTACCTAACCCTGAATTGTACTCCACGTCTTTAAAATAAATAAAAATAAGTTAAAAAACAAGCCAGGCATGGCGGCTCACGCCTGTAATCCTAGCACTTTGGGAAGTGGGGGTGAGAGCATTGCCTGAGTCCAGGAGTTCAAGACAAGCCTGGGCAACTCGGAGAGACCTCATCTCTACAATAAACCAAAAAATTAGCTGGGCATGCTGGTGCTCCTGTAGTTTCAGCTACTTGGAAAGCTGAGGTGGAAGGATTGCCTGAGCCCAGCTGGTCGAGGCTGTGGTGGTTGTGAGCGTGCCACTGGACTTCTGCCTAGGCAACAGAGTGAGACTCCGACTCAAAAAATAAACAACGGATGTATATATTCCAACTGATCCAAAAAGCAAATTAGATCTATATCAAAATTTCCAAAGAAATAGAATATCAATTATCAAAAAAAATTGTAATGTCTTTAACTTTGTAGAAACAGAGTAATAGATGCCTGGGTTTTTTGAGGAAAAAAATAGGAAATCAGAAATGAATTTGCTGTATTGAAGTGGATCAGCTTATAATTAAAGGGATAATAAAAAAGATTTCCTTGTTTAGGGAAGTAATTGTAAATCCTTTCTGGGTGCTCACGAGGGAACAGAATTTATGACCTTGGTAAGTGAATAAGGTGTTTCCAAATTTTTATGAGAATACATCCTCCCAGTAGACATTTGCTTATGTATTTATATTTATCATATTAGTTTGCTAAGGTGCCACAACACAGGTCCATAGACTAGGTGGGTTAACCAACAAATTTGTTTTCTTACCCTTATGGAGGCTGCAAGTCTGAGACCAAGGTGCTGGGGATTTGGTTTCTCATGAGGCCTCTCTCGTGGGCTTGCAGGTAGCCAGTGTCTTGCTGTGTCCTCACGTGGTCTTTTCTCTCCACATGTACCTCTGAGGTCTCTCAGTGTGTCCAGTTTTCCTCTTTTTATGACTTTTTCTGTCTCAACTCTTTAAAGGCCTCATCTCTGAATATAGTCACATTCTGAGATGCTGAGGACGAAGGCTTCAACATACACATTTTGGAGAGACAAGTTTCAGCCCCTAACACCTGTTCTGCCACACTATGTACATTTTAATATACCACCCAAAGAAACGCAAAAAGATCAGATAAAACAATAAAAATAGATGTCATTATATTAACTTTCCAGTCACAGTGGGTTATCTGCTGGAGTCTGTACAGCCCACTGTGGAATACTGCATTTTAATGAGAGCCTCACCTGAAGTTTAAGCTCGATTGCCAGTAAGTACACTGTTCTCTAGCATTAATCTCTAGTTTCCTGTTGTGTTTTTCTGTCATATATTCTAAGGAGGTAAGGGCTCCTTGATGTTGAATTTTTTTGTTTTGTTTTTTGAGTTGGAGTCTCACTGTCGCCCAGACTGGTGGGCAGTGGCATGCTCCCAGTCACCACAGCCTCGACCTAGGCTCCTGCAATTCTTCCCCCTCAGCCTTCCAAGTAGCTGGAACTAAAGGCGCATGCTACCAATGCCCAGCTAATTTTTGACTTATTGTAGAGACAGGTCTCACCAAGTTGCCCGGATGGGTCTTGAACTCACGGGCTCAGGCAATCCACTCACCTCAGCCTCCCAATGTGCTGGGATTACAGGCTGAGCCACCGAACCCAGCTGATGTTGGATTGTTTTACTACAAAGCCTGCCCTTTTGACAGTACAAACTTCTGTATGGACATGAAGTATTTTGAGACATGTTTTATATAAATGTGAAAATTCACAAAACATAACTTATTTAGGAGGTCTATGAAGTGTAATTATTCTGAAACTTCTTAGGTCACCTAACTGTACTGTAAAAATTTGTTTCTAGGTATGTAAAAATGTGTTTCCTACTCAGAGGTAAGTCCTTATTAAGCTGCTTGGTTCTTTAGCACTATCATTAAGAAATAATAATGAACGAATGTAATTTCTGGTGTTTGTGCCAGCTCAATTTCTTATATCTGCAGTGATTTACAACAAGCCTTCCTCTAACAGTTTCTAATTCTAAAATTCAATGTAGAGGTTTGTTTACTCTCCAGTAGCTATTTGGAGTGGGAGTGGGTAGTAAATCCATTAACATTCCATGATACACAAATATTGATTCTAGATAGATTAAGGTTCAGTATAAAAGATAAGGCTATAAAAAAAAAGTATGGGAAAACAGAAGTGTCCTCCTGTGGGAAGAAATCTGTAAGCCTGAAAGCAACTCAACTTAGCAATGCAAACAAATAGTTTCACATTTAAAGTCACATGGTTGTAATAAAAATCGAGAAAGTACTAAAAAGTGTGACATGGTTAACATCTCTAATAGAAATAAAATAGCACTAACACCTATAGATAAGTAACTCAGAAAAGATATAGCTGGTAAGAAAACCTTCCAAACTCAGGGCATAATTAGACATAAGAGATTATTGTAAACGCAGACAAAAATTCATGAAATGAGGTTTATTTAAAATCAGAAAATAGATGTTAAAAGTCACACGGCAATAAGATAGAATTAATATGAACTCTTTCCAAGTGTGACACATTTTCTTTCCCTCACAGAAATATGATTCTTACTACCTTCCTAAAGTTATTTTACATATCTACATTGCAAATATATTACTAAAGTATTAATTCATTAATTACAACATAAAAAATATAATTACAGCATAGAAAAAAATTATATAAAATATCTTAGAGGCTAAAAGGTAGACTAGTGGCTTTTCCACATTCAACAGATGGCATGCATTTAATCATTTCACTCCTGAATACTTTATTTTTTTGGAGTCAAATCTAAATTTTTTTTGTGGGGGGAGCGATCAGGGTTTCAGTCTGTCATCCTGACTGGAGTGCAGTGACACAATACACAAATATTGATTCTAGATAGATCAAGGAGATGGTTTATGGTTTGAGGCTATGTTGCTTACCATAGCCTCGAACTCTTGGGCTGAAGTGATCTTCCAGCCACAGCCTCCTGAGTAGCTGGAACTACAGGCACATGACACCACACCTGGATCATTTTTAATTTTTTTTTTTTTTTGTAAAGACAAGATCTTGCTAGTTGCCTAGGCTGGTCTTGAACTCTTAGGTTTAAGCAGTCCTCCCGCCTTAGCCTCCCAAAAGTGCTGGGATTACAAACGTGAGCCACTATGCTGGGCCCAAATCTAAATTCTAATAAGATGCATTTAAAAACCAACTACTGGGTATCTAGTCAAAAGGAACACAAATCGTTCTATTCATATTTATTGTAGCACTATCACAGTATCAAAGATATGGGACCAAACTAGGTGGTCATAAACAGTAGACTGGAAAAAAAAAATGGTACATATACACCATGGAATACTACACAGCCATAAAAAAAGAATAAAATCATGTTCTTTGCAGCAACGTGGGTGCAGCTGGAAGCCACCATTCTAACTGTATTGACGCAGGAACAGAAAACCAAATACTGCATGCTCTCACGTGTAAGTGGAAGCTAAACACTGGGCACACAGGGGCACAGGGATGGGAACAGCAGACACCAGGAACTCATAAATGAGGGAAGAAGGAAGTGGGACAAGGGTTGAAAAACTACCTGCGAGGGTGCCCTGGCTCACGCCTATAATCCTAGCACTTTGGGAGGCCAAGGTGAGAGGATTGCCCGAGCCCATGGGTTCGAGACCAGTTTAGACAACTTGGCGAGACCTCATTTCCACAATAAATCAAAATATTAGCCGGGCCTGGTGGCGTATGCCTGTAGTTCCAGCTACTTGAAAAGCTGAGGTGGAAGGATTGCCTGAGTCCAGCAGGCCGAGGCTGCAGTGACCATGAGCGTGCCACTGCACTCCAGCCTGGGCAACAGAGTGAGACTCCAAACCAAGAAAACGGAAAAACTACCTATTAATATTTGGTACCATACTATTTGGGTGACTGGTTCAACAGAAACCCAATCCTCCCCATCGTGCCATAGACACCCATATGTAACAAACCTGCACTTTTAAAAATTGTCTTTTAGATTACTAGAAAGTTGACTAAATAAAATGTTAAACTTCAAATAACGTTAGTGGGAAAGACGTTTACAGTTTTACATGATCACAAGACTTATACCTATTATATGTTTCCATACTGACATTCTGAGCATCAAGGACGGACTCCTCAAAAGGATGATGAGGCCTATCTGATTTTCCCTGCTACATTTTGGCTTGCTGCTACCAGCAGTAATTACTGAAGACTAAAGCCAAAGAGCCAACAAACTGCCACTCCTATCAGGATGGGTGTTGGTATTTTCCTGAGGACCCTCAGCACCGCCCCTGCTAAGGGTGGACCGGAGGCTGGTGTGGAAAGGCGTTGGGGTCTTGAGGCACGTGTTGGCAATCCCGAGGACCGTGATGGTGAAGACAGCAGCAGCCAACACCTGGCCGTTCCAATTCGGGATTAGGTCTACACGTGGCCATCCTACAAGTAAAGTACAGTCCTCCCTTTGGTCCCCACTTTGCCTGGTTTAAGGACATCTTAAAGCCATCGCACGATCTAACTCAGACTTAACTCTTTTCTCGACCCCCCTGCACACACTGCCTGTTCAACACAATGTGTGACTGTACACTTATGAATGAATGAATGAGGCGCTCACTGTCACCCAGGCTGGAGTGCAAGGGTGCGACCACAGCTCACTGCAGCCTCCAAATCCTGGGCTCAAGAGACGCAATCACCTTCACCTCTGCAGTAGCAAGGACCACAGGTTCACGCACGTGGGACTTTTATAGTCCTGGCGCCCAAAGCTCCGCCCACGGCCCCCCCCGGAAGTCGCCGTGGGCGCAAGCGGCGTTGGAAACATCCGCCTTCACCTACTACCCGCGGAAGGCGCTTTGCGCGTGTCTCTCGCGGGACCTAAACCCCTTGGGCGGAGTTTTCTGTAGCGCCGGGAAAGCAGTATCTCGCGACAACTGGGACCGGAAATGCGGAGTGAAAGCGGATGCCGCCGGACCCGGAAGTCAGGCTCTTGTTTCAGTCTTCCCGCGACTCTCTGGTGCGGGTTCTTGTATCTCTTGTGTGTGGAAGCTCCCAGCGGGAAAATGCCGACCCGGGTGAGGCCTGAGGCCGCCTCTGATGGACCCAGACGCTCCTCTGCGCGGCTGAGGCGGCGAGGGCGAGGGCGGGATGGGGGACGTCGTCTTTGACCGCCCCTCCGCGATGTCGACTTTGTTTGGCTTTGCTGTCGGGCCTGGAACGACGCCAAGTGCGGTGGGCTCGCTCTGGCCTTCTCTGTGCTTCCCCCGAGGATAGCAGGTCCCCTCAGTCCAGCCCGCAGACTTCTTCCTTCCCCGCCCCCCATAATGGAGATGGGAATCCCGCTGTGGTGCGTAGGATGGTCTCGAACCCCTGGCCTCCAGCGATCCTCGCGCCTCGGCCTCCCAAAGCGCTGCGCTCACAGGCTGAGCCACTGCGCCCGGCCTGCAGACCCCAAGGACCCGCGCCCTCCAGCTCCCCGGGGGCTGAGGTGTGACCTACGTTATTGCTGCGTCCGGGGAGCTTGGAACAGTGTGTTCGTGGGAGGCCCGCGGTCCGCTTGTATTGGCTGAGTAAGTGGAACAGTGGCGAGGAAGTTTCAGGAGGAAGCTAGAGTGGCTTTTTTATTTTCGAGCAGCTTGAGTTGGACAGAAGGGTAGCAAAGGTAGTACAGAGTTCTTACATACCTTTCACCAAGTTGCCCCAATGGTAACCAGGTGTGACTTTTAAAAAATAATTTGGGGCCAGGTGTAGTGGCTCACACCTGTAATCCCAGCTGTGAGAGGCTGAGACTAGAGGATTGCTTGACCCCAGGAGTTCCAGACCAGCCTAGTCAAGAGACCGCTTAGAAAAAAAAAAGAAAAAAATAATAAATAAAATTAATTTTGTTCTTTTAGCCACAGTTTACTTAGCTGCTAGATTCAGCTGTAACCTTTGTTTTGCCTGTGGACGTTGGGAGAAACCCTGCTTTTTCATAAGTAGTAACATGTCGTAATGCGGTTTTTACATTAGGGTATTGCTTCCTTTTCAAGCACTAGTAGCCAAAAAAGTGTTTTTACCATAAAAATAATTATAATAATAATGTGCTAATGTTGAAGTTAAATAAATTTGTAGATAATAACAGTGTGTGTCAGCAACTTTTTCTTATTGTCATAGCTGAAAGCAAAGTCAGAGGGGAAGCTTGCAAAACAGATTTGCAAAGTTGTGTTGGATCATTTTGAAAAACAGTATTCCAAAGAACTTGGAGATGCCTGGAGTACAGTCAGGTTAGTATAATTCGTCTCTTGATGCATTATGATAGAACAGAGAGAGGGAAGGAGGGATGCCGTGGGGATAAAAGGTAAAAGAATACAAGCCTGGCTGCCCTTTTTACTGAGGCTATAGGAAGGAAGAACTGGAAAGAAATAGAAGGGTAACATGGTGGAAAGGGGAGAAAGATAACTTTCTAGTTTTACTTTCTAGTGATAGTAAACAAAAATTGTTATGCCCTTGTCTTGACAAATTGCTTTTATCCTTGAAGCAAATGCTCACAACATTAATTATACTGTAAGAGAAAAAAAATTTAATTTAGGGGAATAATTAACAATTCTCTGAAATTCAGAAGCTCATACTACAAATCTTGAAAGCCAGCATGACTTTGTTTTAACTAAAGTTACACATTATTTGGTTATCGTATTTCACCCCTGTTAATGCCTGTGGCTGTCTGTATTTTAAACACATGCACCAAGTACACAACTCGTATTTATAAAAACAAATGTTATTAGCCGGGCGTGGTAGCGCGCGCCCGTAGTTCCAGCTACTGGAAGGCTGAGGCGGAAGGATCGCCGGAGCCCAGCAGGTCGAGGTTGCGGTGGCCGGGAGCGGCCACTGCACTCCAGTCTGGGCGACTGAGTGAGACTCCAACTCAAAAAAAAACACCAAAATAAAACCCAAAACAACAACAACAACAACAAACAAATGTTTAATGGCAGTGAGGGAAATTAGCTTGTGGTGAGCTTTGCTGTGGCAGAATGTTGCCATTTGGGTTTTGGCTTTGAGTGCCTGATACAGCATGTGATGCTCACTGGAATAAAAAGAGCAGGACAGTCCCTGAGTCCGGTTCTTGTGCTGTCTGGTTATTGTTCATGGGAGAGAGGTGGGCTGTGGAGTGTGATGACAACTGCATGAACTGCTACGTTGACATAGGTCTGATCTGTTTGACTAGCCTAGGGGTAACAGCAAAGGCCCAAGGAGAGGCCGGGTCTTGGTGACTTAAGAGAGTTACCTTGACAAAAGGAACCGAGCATTCTAGGTTGAGGGAAGAGGGCATGCTGCTCACGAAGGAGGGGCAAAAGTCCAATACCTTTTGCACAAGCCGAAGGTTATATGGCTCCAGAAAAAGAGATTATGTCTTGGCTAATAAAGATAAAACTGAGGTGGTTCTAAGAAATTTAGGACAGTTAAGGTGTTTTAGAAACTCGTAAATACTGTCATATGGAAGCATAGATATGGTTTTTATTTCAGAACTGGATTTTGAAATGGGTGTTTACTATCACAGAGAAGTAAGACTGATTAATAAAGTATGCGATAAGTTCATGAGGTCTTCAACATGCAAAGGTCCTCAAATATAGAATATTCAAATAACCAAACACTGCTTACATGCCTGCTATGTGCCCCACGGTACTGACTTACGTGATCCTCAGAACAAACCTCTGAGATCTGTTTCCCATTTTTCCCCTAAGGTTGCTGCATAGAGTTTAAGCAGCTTGCCTAAAGTTCACTCAACTAGTAAGTGGCAGAGCAGGGCCTTCTATTTTGTCTCTCTTACTCAAAACCTCCCACAGCTAACCCTTATCCTGTACTGCCTCTTATACCTGGGTTGTGATTTTTTTTTAAAAAAAGATCTTGAGGTATTTTTTCTGCAGACTTCATTGTAGTCTGGCTGCTCATACCCTGTAATGACTTATTTTTCTGCTTAGTGTGCTCAGACAGACATAAATTATTATTTGACCCTAAACAAAATGAGCAGTGAACCTCAAATCCATTTAATTAGCTGTGCCTTCTGCTTCATCTACCTTTTTGTTGGATTTTCATGGTAATTTAAGTTTTGCATAAACATGCGCTAAATTTGCCACAGGCAAAATAAAAGCTTTTGAGCTTGGAAAGAAGTCTGAGCATGGAAGATGGCATGGGGAAATAACAGAACTAGATATATTTTTTTAACTGTTTATTTGCAAGACATAATTGTGTGCAGAGTCTGTTTACTTCCAGAGAAAGTTCAGAGCTTTTTCTTTTTTTCAAACTAGAAAGTTTACTCCACATTTTTCATTTTCTGTAGTAGTAGAGAAGATTTAGTATTCATTAATTTTATTGTTTGTTTTTTTTTTTTTGAGTTGGAGTCTCACTCTGTCGCCCAGACTGGAGTCCAGTGGCCGCCGCCGCTCTTGGCCACTACAGCCTCGCCTGCTGGGCCTGTGGCTCTGGCGATCCTTCCGCCTCAGCCTTCTGTGTAGCCGGGATTACAGGCATGTGCTACCACACCTGGCTGATTTTTTGATTTATTGTAGAGATGAGGTCTCGCTGCCCAGGCGGGTCTCGAACCCGCTGGCTCAGGCAATCCACTCACCTCGGCTTCCCAAAGGCGCAGGATTACAGGCTGAGCCACCGAGCCCAGCTTAATTTTACTGTTTTTTAATAACCTTTCTTGCCAAGTCATTCCGTGAGCAGCCCTTTGAAGTTGGAGCCCACCCCGCTTCCATTTTTGCTCTGCTTGTTGTCCATGTGTTTTCATGTTCTCCCTCAGGTAAGCCCATTCATGACATGACTTCAAATTTCCATCCATATGCTGTCATATCAAGGTGTGCAGTCTCCCCCAAGGTTTACTTCCATTCTTTTAAGTTTTTTCTAGCAACTTCACTTAGTTGTCATACTTGGCTGACTCAAAAACTTATTCCTGTTTTTCCCTTCCAAGTCTGTGTGGCCTCTGCCTCTTGCATATTTTGTCTTAGTTGAAGGTATTACCATCAGTCTGCCTTCCTTCTTTCTCCTCTGCAACTTCACTTCCTTTTTAGTAAAGAATGAGCATTGATTCAAAAACAGGGCTGGCATTGCTCTATGCCCGGAGAGGTGATCTCTAATACCTTGGCATGTCCTTTCTGAAGAAAATGTCTTTGTTTACCTGGGGCTTGGTCCACACGTACTAATCTAACAATGTGACTTATGGTGGACAGAGATAACCAACTCAACTTCCAGAGATGCTGGAGACTAAAAGTCAGCTGTGTGGGCCATCGGTCATGTCTATATGATCAAGCCTCTGTTAAAACTGGATACAATACTTCAGTCTTGGACACATGACTGTTACAAGATTATTTAAGACAGGAACCAGGAGGCTTTGGGAAAGGGAAAGAAGGAAATGTACTATATGGGTCTTGTTAGGCTCCAACCGTCAGTGTAGGGTTTTTCTTTCCTCGATGATGGTAGAAAGAACTCATTTTCATAACATGCTTCTCTTGACATTTGAGAGTATGTTTAAAGATATTTTTTATTAAAGATCTCTTGTGAGGTATTTGGCTGGGAGCTAGGAGGCTAAAGGGCTCAGGTCTGGCTCTTCAGTGAATTTAACTGTGTGACTTTGGGCAAGTCACTCAACCCCTCTGCTTTAGTCTCCTTGTCTTGTAAAATGGGAGTGATACCTACCTCACAGAGTTGTTCTGAGGACTAATTAGAAATAATGTCGAAAGCATTTAGGTTCTTGAAGAAGGTACTATACATACAAAATAATGGCTATTAAAGTTGGTTTATTTATGGGGGAAAAAACAGACACCACAGCTTTGGTGAGCGTCCTGGCTGGCAGTACACCTGTGCATACTGTCACTGTCACATGTCATTGCCAGCAGAAGTCAGCCTTATTCGCTGTAGAACAACCGGAAGTTTCATGCTTTGAGTTCCCATGACTGATTTTAATCTGCATGCTTCTGCTGTAATAAACCGTAACTATAACTGTGATTATAACAGTTTTCAGTGAGTTGTGTGTGTGCTAGTGAATAATCAAACTTGAGAGCAGTCTTTTCCCTGACATCGGAAGGTCTTGAAGAACTAATATTTTAAGTCTTGGACAAGTCATCTGCTTATTCACAGTTTAGGCAGTGTTAATGTACCAGGTGTTGTGCTAAGCACTGAAGTTACAAAGGGGATATATATCCTGCCCCAGTGTGTACAAGGGGGGATTAACTGGGAGTCTATATGAACTTTGGAAATTTGATGCACATTTTATGGAAAACCAAAAAAACAAAAACAGAAAACTTAAGTCTAGCCTGTCTGTAACACTTTTTAAAAAATTTGGACATTGTCCTCATTGACCTAGAGTTCACATACAGAGAGCAAAAAAAAAATTAGATAAATTGATAGTATCATCATCATCATCTGTGAAGGGAGTGGAATGGAGTGATTAGGGAAGAGGGAGGTAGACCAGTATCTAGATTTCTATTTTATCCCATGTGTTGGCTTTATACACCTTTTCTTTTCTTTTCTTTTTTATTGGTAGTCTCACTCTTGTCGCCCAGGCTGGAGTGCAGTGGCATGCTCACGGCCACCGGAGCCTCATCTTGCTGGGTTTAGGTGATCCTTCCACCTCAGTCTTCCAAGTAGCTGGGACTACAGATACACGCCACCATGCCCAGCTAGGTTTTTTGTGATTTATTGTAGAGATGAAATCTCGCCAAATTGCCCAGGCTGGTCTTGAACCCCTGGGTTCAGGCAATCCTCTCACTTCAGCCTCCCAAAGTACCGGGATTAGAAGCTTGAGCCACAATGCCCAACAGTATACATATTTTCAACCTTAATCCATGCAAATCCCTGTGAAGTAGTAACTTTTAGCCCCTTTTAAAATCAGAGGTTAGGCCAGACATGGTGGCTCATGCTTTAATCCCAGCAATTTTGGAGGCTGAGGTGAGAGGATCACTTGAGGCTAGGAGTTGGAGACCAGCCTGGGCAACATAGGGAAACCCTGTCTCTTTTATTTTTTTGAGTTGGAGTCTCACTATCGCCCAGACTGGAGTGCAGTGGCAGCTTCCGGCCACCGCAGCCTCGACCTGCTGGGCTCTGGCGATCCTTCCGCCTCAGCCTTCCAAGTAGCTAGAACTACAGGCGCACGCTACCACGCCCGGCTAATTTTTTTGATTTATTGTAGAGATGAGGTCTCGCCTGCCCAGGCGGGTCTTGAACCCGCGGGCTCAGGCAATCCATTCACCTCAGCCTCCCAAAGGCGCGGGATTACAGGCTGAGCCAC